GATATCCTTAAACTACTAGATATAAAAATGATTTAGGAGATTTAAAATTTCTAAGGAAAAATTATTCATATTTATTATTATTTTATTTTTTACCACTAAGGTGCATTTGCTATATGGAAAAGATGTGACTGATGTTAAAAAGAGAGTGTTGGAAAAGGGAGCAAAGAATTACACTTAAATAATTTAGTAAATTAAATGGAAATTTATAGGTGAAAGAACGGACCATATGTTAAAGTCAACATCACTATTCTGTGAAATAAATCTTCCACCTTATTTCACTTTTCCTCTATTGCTTATTGCAGTTTAACCCACTCTTTCTCTTCACTTTCCCCACTTACTCTGTGTTCAAATCAGGTTATTAGATTAATAATTGCCACAATACTAAAGATGAGTGATTTGCTTTCCAATTATGCAAGAGAGCATGTAAGTTGAAGTGGCAAAAATGAATGGAAATAAAGAAAGGAGGGAAAAGGGGAGGAAGAAAGGAAAAAGGAAAAGAGGGAGGTAGGAAAGCAAGAAGGAAAAAGAAGGAAGGAAAGAAGGAAAAGGGAAGGAAGGAAGGAAGGAAGGGAGGGAGGGAGGAAGGGAGGAAGGACAGAAAAAAGTGGTAAAATAAGAAGTGGAGAAGACAGAAAAGAATAAAGAAAAAGAACAGAGAAAGAAAGAGAGGAAGGGAAGGGAAATAAGAAAAATGAGTAAAAAAAAAAAAAAGAGAGAGAAGAAAGAAAGGAGCAAGTGAAAAGAGAGATCAAGAAAGCATTTCTCCATTTACTTTTTACTTGAATATCGTGAACCTGGCCAAGCTAACTTTCAACTTCTACGTAGTTATAGTTGACGATGTATTCCATTAAGGAGTTTTAAGAAGGAGGTTAAATATTTGCAATAAATCACAACATAAGTTCAATTGATGGTGGAATTTTCAAAATAGAGAAATTCCTCTAATTTGGGAACAAATGAAGCATGTGGCTGCACATTAAACTCATGTGTTTATTAGCTTGCTGAAAGTTGCTTTCTTCATTGAACTTTTCAAATATTTAAAATAATAATTTCTAAACAGAGTACAAATTGGGAGAGAAGTCCCAATTCTATAATTCACTAGAGTCATCACTTTTGTTTCTCAACAAAAGTCTTGCTTTTGTTTTCTGAGTACAATATCAAATTATATTCTCAAGCATTTAGACATAGTCAGTTTTAACCCTTTTTTCCTCAGATTTTTAAAAATTTCAACTAATTACACATAACTATTTATTTAGTGTTAATGAAGTATATAATCTCTCTTAAAAGATATATCTAAAATAGCCTATGTATGTAAATGACCTCAAAGGGTCACTTGCAAACCATTATTTAGCCTGTCATATGTGATTTATTTTATTAAAACCTATTTCATGGCATGAATTTTCTGAATACTGATGAATATAGACAAACTATAACAACTCAAAGAAAATAAATACATTATGTTATATCAGCAAACATGTTTACCTGTAGGAATGAAGAGTAATTTACTATTCACGTTTCAAAAAAATATTTTTTCTTGAAATGCCTGAGGCTATTAATGAGTTTGGAATTCATTTTCAGGCTATTTTGGCTTTTGAGGAAATCTGTTTTCAATTCAATATTATTTCTAAAAGGAATTTTAGATTTGTCACCTCTAGAAAGTGGTAGTTTTCGTTAGAAAACTGAGATAAAGAAAGCTTGGAAATAGAACTATATCTATTAGAAATAACTGTATATATGTGTACACATTCTGCATTGCAAATAACACCTCTAACTTCTGAAGCTTGCTTAAAATAACTTTTAAAAATAGTGCATTTAACACCCTGCATAACAGCATAGCTGAAAGTTTCCTGAAGTGTTAAAGAAAAGGCTAGCTAGATGTTTTATCATGATGGCTGAAGGCGGTAGCATTGTGTCTGACACCTGACCCATTTATCTCACTTCATAAACTTCAAATAAATCAACAGACAACATGCTTTTCTCTTTTTCCTAGTTATTTGGGGGTACATAATAAGGGTTTACCTTATGCTTGTTGTCTACCTTCAGAAGATATATACTACAACAGTATTTAGCATGTGTACCTTTACTGTAAATTTTACTAGGCCAGGTATTTTAATAAAACCTTCACATTTCTTTGTTTTGGCATGTATCCATATGTGTCATTTCTGATCTCTCTGACTTTCCAAGATCATGGTTAGATGATGCATCTCATCTTTATTTATTTTTATTTTCCTGAGTATAAACTGTATTTTATAGGAGTTTCTGCTAGGCTTATTTGCATTTTTTTAATAGAGCAACTTTTAATAAAGAACAAACCTTTGTTAGTTTAAAATTTAGCTCTACTTAGAAAATATATTTGCTGTTTAAATATCCCACAGTTTGTACTGGAGAAAAAAGTAACACTTCAGGTTAGACTCTAAACATAATGCATTATCAATGAATTTTAGCCCAGAAAGAATTAGCCTTCTGGGTGCACAGCTTCTCTGTCTTGGCTTCCGGCCAGGGCTGATATTCTAGCTTTATTTTATGTTTCCCCAGCTGCTTTCTAAATCTGGGGAGGCAGCACCAGCCAGAATCTTCTAGTTTGAACACAGTATGCTAAATGCTTCTCTCTTCTTCCTTAGTAGTTGCTTGTAAATGATGCACACAAAGTTTGATCTTTGGATTTTATTTCCAAAGGCCCCTTTTCCGCTCAAACAGAAAATACAAGGCAATCATATGAACACTTAACCTATTGGGGACAACTGTTTTACTGGGTTAGATACATTTATTTAGTACCTTTAAGAACTAATGTTAGTATTGAGATTGAATTAAGTTTATTTTACATCTAAGTACAGAATGCTTTTCTTTGGGAGAAGAAAGAACAGATATAACAGTTTTAATCTCAAATGAAAAATGAAAGATCATTATTTTCCTGAGGTAAATGTAAGTGTGAGCATGTACTTCTATTTTGATTGTCAATTATAGAAATTAAAAATTATGACTTAATATATTTATATATAAAACTAGTCCACATATACTTCCTTTTGGTGTTTAGGATAATACATTTAAAATGATACATTTCTTAAATAATAAGCCTATGTTGGAGAAAACAAAATGCAATTTATGTATATTTACATATGCATTTATTACTTATATATTTGCATTAATCAATTTTAAAAATTCAAATTTTCATAAGGTTTTACTTTCCTTTTATTTAAAAACAATGCCTGAGTTTCTAAATTGGATCTAAGGGTGATTTTCATGTTATAGCTAGTAAGTCATATATATTATAATTTTTTCAAAGGGTTTTTAATGTATCAGTCTTAGTGGTGACCAGGTGCCATTCAGATAGAATTAAAAGGCCCATTCTGCTTAGTATTAAATTTCTAAAAATCTTCCCAATTAGCTTATTATGAGATGTCTATCAGTGTAAACATTGCTTAATATTGATCACCATAATGTATTGTCACAGGATTTCTTATTTTAAAAAATGTCAACAATAAGAGTAGGCTTAACTTCCCATTTACATATTGAGATAAATGTAAATGGCAAGTATATTTTGCTTATTAATTAGTTACTTTTTTATGAATTCCAGTTGAAAACTTAGACTGTTGTAGTCAGTAGACTTTATATTTTTCATATAAACTTGCTACTCACATGCACACATACGCACACAAATGACGAGCACAGAGCCTATGTGACACTGGGATATAGCTAACTACCGTGCTTTTAATAGAGTAAATTACTGTTTTGCTTTGAAAAAAAAAAAAAACCTTTAAATCTTTGTGGGAAAATTCATTGCTTCCTAGTTTTGGGGAAATTCAACCAATTACCATAACTTTTGTCTTTATCAATTCTCTCTTGGTGCAGAAACCTCACAGGATTTTAACCCTGTTGTTGGTGAGAAAGTGGAAAACTAAAACCATTCTGAGAGTTACAGAAACACATCAATATGTTGGTATGCAATTCATGTTAAAGCATTTATGATACTGTGTAAATAAAAATATTCTGATAGAAGGCACCATGAAAATAAGCAAGCGTGAGTTTGAAAGAGATATGATAAAGCATAAACTTCAAACTTTCTCAAGCTGTATGAGAACTCACAGTATAATTTATCATAATAAACAAAACATATCATCACTTAAAAAGCTATGACAGGAATTCTGAATAATACAGTATTTTATTAATCAGGAGAAATTGTAAGAAAAATAAGGTTTAAGTTTCCTTATTTAGCTTCCTCAAACAGAGATATTGAAAAGGGAATGAGTAAAATCATATTGCAATAATATTTCTTATTTTCCAACTTATTCTGTGCTTGAAGAAATTGGAGGTATACCATAAAGCTTTCTGTCCTCCTAGGAAACTATGCTTAGGGCATATGACATATATTGTTCTAAGAATTTATTTTTATTTTCTAATAGGAGGTACGAGGAAAACACCTATTTCTTTATAAGCAATTTATGACTGTATCATACAATTTCAAATGTCTGTGACAGCTGTTTCTCTAAAGCAGACCATTAGAACAGCATGCCTACAAATCTCAGGTCCAAAGAAGAGGAGTTCCCATCTTCGGTAATTTGAATGCCATGTTTTCAGTAACACTTACTAGGGAAACATTTATAACCCTACAGTTAACTTTGGATGTTGAGTTTGTAAAATTCGTGCTTTTAATATGAAAAGGCTAAAATTGTATCAGATAAGATATTTCCTATGCAAATGTTCCAGCAACTGTTTAAATTTTATCAAGTTGTATCTCTCTCTCTCTCTCTCCTTTTTTTTTTTTTTTTTTTTAGGCAGGACTGTATTTTCTATTTCCGTGCAAATATAACTTCTATAAAGCATGATGACAGGTAAGCACACACATGAGGAAAAGGGAGATTGAATTTGGTTTTAAAATATTATCTGCTTCTACATAAATCTTTCACAAATAAAACTTTATTGTGTTCGACTTGTTTACATAGCTAAGCAACGCATATTCATTTATGGTACACGCCTCGATTTCAGCAAATTAAGCAGTAACTTACCTAGAGAAGCATTTCAATATTTTGCCTTTTCCTAACTTGAATTTATCCCGAGTTAGAACATGAGGTATCCAGTATTCAGGTTCACTTGGCTCCAGGTTAATTAGAAGGAGCTTTCAGTTCATGCAATCTGCCTCAACAATATTCCAAGAGCACTCTCTAGCTCCAGTCTTAGTATCTGAACTCTTCCAGCAGAGTCCTTTTATTTATACACACATTGTCCTTTTCAAAACAAGCAGCCAGCTGGAATGATTCAAACCTCTGTTCAGCACACCGTTAAAATGCAGCTTCCTTCTTGGACACGAGAATTACACCAGGGAGCAGACCGAGTACAGCAAAAAGGCTATGAGAACTATTTAATCACCGGAATACCAGCTGCTCCTGTTCTGCTGTTGCTAGTGCTGCTGTGCCTCTTGTTTAGCTGTAGTCGGTCTTTCTCTCCCTCCCTCTCTCTCATATCTCCAGAACTATAAAGGCAGCTTTGCTGGATTATGATTGGCAGAAACAGCCAATTCCTTCAGCTAATCATCCTCAAGACTTTCAAGGACCTGGAGCTGTTGTGATGTCATCCAGTCAGTGGGATGTTACACATGAATACATTCCAACAGAAGCTAATTCAGCGATGGGCTGCATTCCTCTCACACCGCGGTGATTGATTAGATGCTCCTTGAAGATTTGCATAATCTTTCAATGTACAGTTGGACTATTTCCTATGAAATTTGAGGATAGAACTCCACTTTGCAGCTATGACACTATGCCACGAGATTCTATTGGACAAAATAAGAAAAGTTCAAGACAGGATTTTCTGCTGTAAATGTGTTCCAGTTAAACACACAAATTACAAACTCAACAAAAGCCAACAATGAGCAATAGGAAACTCGGACAAGTATTAGTAAGCTACATACTCCCGAAGTTAATAATAGCATTTTAGAACATGATAAATGTTAGAAGGAAAGAAAGAGTATGTGCATGTGAATTTATTGTGTGCATTGTTTTAGTAATTAAGGTAAATTACTGGATTATTATGGAAAAGTTCTATTCTCCGCACTGACAAAAAATTGTCTCCATTTCCATGTCTCTTTTTTTCTTTTTACCTTGGCAATATAAGGTGAAGATTACCTGCTCTTTGTTTTCTATTAATTCATGTAAACACGTCAAGATACTATCAAGTACTTTTATATATTTTATGTAAAGTTATTTAAACTTATTCATTAGTATATATGCAAAAGTAAAAGTAAAGTGTTTTCAGGTACATCCTCTCATTCCAGACTACATGATTCCCTGGGCTTTTCTTGCTTTAGTACATTCCTTAGTATCTACCATTTAATTTAGTGGAACAAGATATGCTAATGAGAATTTGGTCCAACACCCCTTATAGGCTACAGAAGAGAGCTACAAGCTTTTCTCAACTCCAAGCCTTCCTCAGGTATATGGGTGTCATTGGTTGTACGTAGTGGTTCCATTTGAAATACTGGGGTGATTTCAATGAAGTCCTCTATAGGACTGGAAGTAAGGGTAGTAGGGAGTCCTTCAAAACTCAGCATTTATTGATGATGTGGTCTTTCAGAAGATTAATTTTAATGCATCCAGGATTACTAGTGTTATTATACTGCACAAGGTTTTGAGGGTTTGCAAGCCACAGACATATGCTATACAGAGGATAGGGGAAAAAGATCTACCAAGTTAGAAAAAATATTTACCAGTTATTCATAAGCAATAAATACAATCTAGTAACTCATAGGTCATGTACCAATTAGTTTTTCTGGTGCAAAGGAAAAAATATATTAAAGAAAAAAATTATATTTTAGAAATAATTAAAGAGTTCAGGTACTTCTTACTACCTTTTAAAACATTTGGAATGCAAAAATGAATTAAAATCAAGACAGAATTTTCATAGTGATACACATCAAAATTCAAAATGGATAAATAAACTGCAGTTAAATATTTCAACAATGTCATAATAAAATAATTATTACTAGAATAGCAACATGGGAAACATTATCTGTTGATAAATAAAATAAAATGGTATAAATTGTAAAAGTCAACTGAAGATTTTTATATTGCATGTAGTTTGGCTAACTAATAATGCCTTCTTCTTTATTCAAGTTGGGTGATTATTTTTAAGTCTTAACTTTAGAAAAATAATTTAAATAAAAAACTATTATAAAATGGTCAGCATCTTTATATTACTGACATAGTTCTATTTCACAACTCAATCAAGAATGCCACTTTATCAGAGTATTTTCGGTTATTGGAACTAAATGGCAACACAGTGATCTGAAGATAAAACCCATCACATTAAAACATGGATCAGGGTTTATGTCATCAGCTCTGGTGATAACCTAGAGTTGATATTCATTGATTACAAGTGAAAAATGTTGATCAATTTCTTCTCTAGCATTAAACTATAAACAAAGTTTTAAGCTGAAGAAGTAAATACTTTCACAATGTAAAAGTACTATATAAAATATTAATAGAAGGTATTCTAATTAAAGGTAAAATTCTTTTAAATATTTGTGAAACATGAAACTTTGAGATTCAAAAAATCCAGAGATTATTAATTAAAATTCAATGTAGGGAAAAAGTACCCAACTTTACTCTCCTTGTCTCATTGTTCATTCAGAAATATACTAAGTACTGAAGGCAGAGGGTCCCACCATATACCTATGTATAAATGAATGGAAACTTACCAAAAAGTGCTTTCTTTTCTATTCCTGGGGAAAACTGGAGAAATTCGCAATACTCACACTAAAACAGATCAAAATAATCCTCAAAGTATTTTGAATATTTTTCTTATAATTTTCTTTGTATATTGTAGTCTCAAATAACTAAAACAAACGTATTTGTGAATTTGTGATCTTTTATCATTTTCTAATCTGTCAGGTTGGGGAAATGAAATAAATGACCTTGGACATTTCTGGGAAGAAATATAATACACAAGAGGGAAAAGAGGAAAGAATTATTTACTCAAAGTGTTTTAAGTTTTTAAATCATTTAACTTGTGTTCCACAATTTACAGGGTTTGCACTTATGTCAAAATGTAGCATCAATTCAGTTTGTTTTGAACAATACACGCAATGCAAAGCATTTACCCAATTGCTTATAGTTGACTTTTAGAGGAGAAAGTAGATGCTTTTATATTTCTTTAAACACTCTATAAAGTATAATATAATTTTTCCTTTATCTATTAAGGTGTAGGTCCAGACTTATATTAAGACCTGACTGGGTCGTTTAAAAATTGGACTGAACTTGTTGAACTAATAAACTTTTAGAGCTCCATGTATTTTTATTCAATTGCTCTCTTGATTCAGTAAAAGTTCAAGTAGTATTTGCCCACTACAAAACCTTTTCATTCAACTGAATTTATCTTTGAATTTACCTTTGAAATTTTCACTGGCATTTCCTTGGAAGTTCAAAAAATGTGTATGTGTTATATGCATTATTTGGAAATTTTAAAAGTGAAAAACATTGAAAACATTATATAATGTACACTTAAAACATATGTATGAGAATATAATATACTTTAAGTTTAATTTATAAATACATATATACACACCTTGTTCTTTATAATACACACATATATCTTTGTATATACTTACTCAATATAAGAAACAAACAAAAAGATGTTTATTTAAAAAGGAAGGTCTTTTTTTGTTTGCATATCAAGTCTTTATTACAGCGAATATGAGAGGGTAGTAATATCTACTAATAAACATCTTAGAAAACTTCAAAAAACCTCAGTAAATTTAATAATTTCAAAAATTTTTCATCGTTTTCTTTCTCATTAACTTCGTTCTGCTAATTGTTACTAATGGTAAGTTTTAAATGCTTGCCTCTAAAATAAATAAAAATTTGCATAGAAAATACTAAAACAAGATTCAAAGTACTTCATAATTTCTACTTTTTAAAAAAATTGTTCATCATGCATACACAGGCTATAAACAGAAGATATTTAGATCTTTAAATGTACATTTTTATTCTTTTCAAGTTTCACCTTTTTTGTTACTTTTACAGCAAAAACAATCTTGAATGAACACAACCAACTAAATTTTCAGTTCTCATAATTTTGACTGAATGCATCTAATTTAATTTACAGTCTTCACTACTAAAACTTACAAATACAAGATTCTATTACCACGCTACCACTTTCTGTCTATATCCTTTTCTTGTAATTTTATTTGTTAACATGAGCAATCATCCTGTTGTCCCAACACAAAAGGTTATAACTCTTTTTTTTTTTTTTTAAAGAAAAAGTATGAATAAAAGAAACTTCTACGTTCAAAGTTTATGCCTTCAGGGAGCAGGGGAAACCTCTAATTGGGCTGTGAGTGACTAATATAAAAACTTTTTATTAAGAGCAAAAATAATCTTCTGCTGGCAATTATTAGGAAAAGAACTTATGTGAAAAAGAAGGTGCATAAAGTCAGTTTTGCTTCATTGGTATCACAATACATGATTTAAAAAAAAAAAAACATAAGTGCCAAATAGCATTACTCGGGTAACAAGCACCCCAGTCACAGACTTAGATGTTATGTTATTACACATCTGGATCTCTTGTTAGCAAGTTATTAGAAAAAGGGGAAAAAAATAGGAAGAGCAGGTTGGAAGAAAGAATCTTTTTGCCAGTATCACTGTAGTGCATTGTTGTAGCAAGAGACAAATCAGCATGTTAATGCTTCAAATAAATCCTTTGAAGATGCAAAACTTGAAAGGCCAAGTGAGGGAACAAACAAACTTAACAGTCCAATTCCAGTTTGGCTGACAACTACTTAAAGAAACAGATTTTTAATAAATAGCAGTTGTTGACCAAAACACTATTGCATCACAAGAAATTTTGTTGTGTGCTAAAATGTTAGCATTCAAGTGAGAGACCCACGGTGAGGTGGGGGAGGACAGTAAACATTAAATTTATGATTTTTCCTTGGTCTGATCTTTGCTATGAGAATTTTCAGTGAATTTCTCTTTTAGATGGTACACAAAGGCGAGGAGAATTCATAAAGCGCATTAATTAGGCCCCAACTCCAGTGGGAGTGTCTCATCAGAGTAGGATTTTTAAATACCTTATAGTGGTTATAAGTTTTATCTACACTAGGTAGTTTCAGTTTGTCTTTCTTTGTTTCTCTTTTCTTTGGAATTTTCATTTGCCAGATTTTATTAGGGTTTAATGGTGATTTCCTTTTGACTTACGCCTTACAAGTCAAGTCATTTTACGTTCTCCAATTTGAAGTCCTAAATGTTCGAAGTGAGAAAGCTACTTGCAGACCAGAATCACAGCATCACAGTGATAAGCTTGATAAAAACCTTTTTGTCATATAGGGTATTTTCTTTCATCTGTTACCTAATTCTTTGTATCTAAAATATCCCAATATCATTTGTTTTCTGCCTGCTCCAGTCCTTCAGGGAAAGGCATCTCATTTACGAACTATTTAGCTAATGCTCTGATCAGCATGGGAAATCTTAATTTGTTACTAAGCCCTAGCAAATCCATTTCTGTCCTTTACCTTCAATGCCTCACTGTAAATTATCATCACTCTGGGGTAATTCACTGGATGCTGTCACTCTTTCTCCTATTTGGTTTAAGCTGTGTGTGTGTGTGTGTGTATGTGTATGTGTGTGTGTGTTGGGGGACCATGTTGAGATGGTAAGTTGTGA